TTGACTTGTGTTGATGATTATGCTTCTTGCACTTCTAAGCTTGATTCCTCTACTAATCTTGGTGCCATGACATCAAATACATGAGCTTAGGACTGACTAAATTGATGACATGATGATAAGAGGAAAACTAAAGCATGAACCAAAATTATTTTTAATTACACCGAATTGAACAAAAGCTTTAAAGATAGAAAAATTCATTTGACTTCTAATGAAGAATTATCTATCTATCCATCCGAGAAGGTGTCTGTGTCTGATCAAGGGGAAACTTCAACTTCACAATCTTAATCTAGAATTCCCTATGTTCCCTTCTCATTAAGAAGAATGCTAACTTGAAACTAAAATCAGTTTTTATTTCTGAAACATCTTCCACACACTCCAAGTCTCTTTTAACTACCACCAAATATTTGAGTAAGAGATTGGAGAAGAGAATGATTTGGATCCAGAAGAAGGTAGAGAAAGGCGTCGAAAGACAAAAAAATCTCAAAAGAAGAAGTCTTGTTCCAGCGCTCTATTTTATTTGAACAAAAAGGTTAAGTCAGGCTCAAATAAAAAAACTTCTAGTTATGTTCTAGACATCTTTTTTTCAAGTTTGATGTTTCTAAGGTCAGTTCAAAACATGTTTCTTTTGTGATTTGTGTTGATGATTCTGATTTTTGCAATTCAAAGCTTGATTCCTCTACTAATCTTTTTTGTTTTGACATCAAATACATGAAATTAGGACAGACTAAATTCACAACATTCACTGGAGCAGAAGAAATTGATGCTTTGGAGGATGATAAGAGGAAAAATAAACCCCGAGCCAAAATTCTTTTTTGAATTACACTGAATTATTCAAAAGCTTCAAAGATAGAAAAATTCTTTTGACTTCTGATAGAGAGTTATCTATCTATCCACCCGAAGAGGGGTTTTTGTCTGATCAAAGGGAAACTTCAACTTCACAATCTGAATCTAGAATCCCTATGTTCCCCCTCTCATTAAGAAGATTACTGACTTGAACAATTCTTTTGAAGATGAATGAAAAGTTTTTGAAAAAGAGAAAAAAACTCTTAAATGAAATTGCTTTTCTTAAACAATCCCTTCAGTCGAACATAGCTGCTACCATTGTTCTAAAACTCGCTAGGCGCTAGTCGGGTGGTTGAGGGGCGCCTAGCGCCTAGGCGGCCGACTAGGCTGATTTTTTGGCCGACTAGGCCGATTTTTCGGCCGACTAGGCCAATTCGGCCTCTACGGTTAGGGCCGCCTAGGCCGCCTAGGCCGATTAATCGGTCCGCCTAGGCCGATTTTTAGAACAATGGCTGCTACAACATCCTCTATCTCTTCTGAACAATACCATGAAACTAAATCCAGTTTTCTGAAACATCTTTCACACACTCCAAGTCACTTTTAACTACCACCAAATCTTTGAGTAAGAGATTTGAGAATAGGACTTTTTGGACTCAGAAGAAGGTAGATAAAGATGCTGAAAGACAAAATATTTTTCTCAATAGAAGAAGTCTTGTTCTAGTTCTCTGTTTTATTTGAACAAAAAGGTTAAGTTAGGCTCAAATGAAAAATCTTGTAGTTATGTTCTAGACATTTTTCCTAAGTTTGATGTTTCTAAGGTCATTTCAAAATATGTTTCTTTTGTGATTTGTGTTGATGATTTTGATTTTGCAATTCTAAGCTTATGACCTCTAGTAATTTTGTGCTATATATGACATCAAATACATGAGATTAGGATTGACTAAATTGATGACCTTCAATGGAGTAAAAGAAACTGATGCTTTGTAGGATGATAAGAGGGAAATAAAGCCCAAGCTGAAATTCCTTTTGATTACACCAAATTGAAAAAAAGCTACAAAGATTTAAAAATTCCTTTGACTTATGATGAAGAGTTATCTATCTATCCACCCAAAAAGGTGTCTATGTTTGTCAAAGGGGAAACTTCAACCTCACAGTCTCAATATAGAGTTCTCTACGTTCCCCATCTCATTAAGAAGATTGCTGACTTGAACAGTTCTTTTGAAGATGAAAGAAAAATTTTTGAAAAAGAGAAAAAAACTTTCAAATGAAATTGTTTTTCTGAAATAATCCCCCCAGTCCAACACAACTTTTATTGCATCCTCTGTCTTTTTTGTACAATGACATCAAACTAAAATCAGTTTTTCTGAAACATCTTCCACACACTTCGGCCAAGTCTCTTTTACCTACCCCCAAATCTTTTTGTAAAAGATTGGAGAATATGACGATTTGGATCCAGAAGAAGGTAGAGAAAGATCCCGAAAGACAAATGTTTTTCTCAAAAGAAGAAGTCTAGTTCTAGCGCTCAGTTTTATTTGAACAAAAACGTTAAGTCAAGCTCAAATGAAGAATCTTTTAGTTATATTTTAGATATTTTCCCTAAGTTTGATGTTTCTAAGGCCAGTTCAATACATGTTTCTTCTATGATTTGTGTTTGATTCTAATTTTTGCAATACTAAGCTTGATTCCTCTACTAATATTTGTGCTATGACATTAAACACATGGAATTAGGACTGACTTAATTGATGACTTTCACTGGAGAAGAAGAAATTGATGCTTTGGAGGATGATAACACGAAAAATAAAGCCCGAGCTGAAATTCCTACCGATTACCCTGAATGGAACAAAAGGTACAAAGATAGAAAGTTCCTTAGACTTCTGATGAGGAGTTATCCATCTATTCACCCGAGAAGGAGTCATGTCTGACCAAGGGGAAACTTCAACTTCACAATCTCAATCTAGAATCCCTACGTTCCCCCTCTCATTAAAAAGATTGCTGACTTGAACAGTTCTTTTTAAGATGAAAGAAAAGTTTTTGAAAAGAGAAAAAAACTCTTAAATGGAATAACTTTTCTTAAACAATCCCCTGAGTCCAACATAGTTTCTACTGCATCCTCTATCTCTTTTGAACAATACAATGAAACTAAAACTAGTTTTTGTGAAAGATCTTTCACACACTCCAAGTCTCTTTTAACTACCACCAAATATTTGAGTAAGAGATTGGAGAAGAGGACGATTTGGACCCAAAAGAAAGTAGAGAAAGATGCCGAAAGGCAAAAGTGTTTCTCTCAAAAGAAGAAGTCTTGTTCTTGCGCTCTGTTTTATTTGAACAAAAAGGTTAAGTCAGGCTCAAATGAAGAATCTCGTAGTTATGTTCCAGACATTTTTTCCTAAGTTTGATGTTTCTAAGGCCAGTTCAAAGCATGTTTCTTTTGTGATTTGTGTTGGTGATTCTGTTTTTTGCAATTCTAAGCTTGATTCCTCTACTAATATTTGTTGTGAATGGTGTGAATGTATGCGTTGAAAAACAAAAATCATCTCCAAAACACACACTTAAGAATGTGTACGTTTTACCTTGTTTAAAATATCCTCTTAGAATTCATTCCTTGAAACATTTGAAAAGACTGTCAAAGAAAGAACTATTCAAACCACACATAACAGCCACCCCATTCACTCCATCAAACATCCCTCCCACTCCCATTTTTGAACAAAAATGGGTCCCAAACTCAGAAGTTGACAAAGATAAACCTCAAGATTTTTCAAAGGCAACTGACTTAGGGTCCAAAGTAAAACAAAAATTTCATGATTTCTTTTCCACTTATAAGGAATGACCAATCGTGAGGTGGGTACCAAAATGCATTTAATATGATTTACGAGTTCGCATGTGTGGTTCTTGATCCAATTGCTCCACACACATGGCGGGTATGATGAGAAATCAATATGATTTAGTGAGCAATCAATAAGTGCATACCCTGAGGAGAAATGTTCCTTTTTCAATCCTTCTGGTGCCTTACAACGAATAAATCAATATCAAGGGGGTTTCATTTACTTTACTAGCCTCTTCGGGTGACAAACAACACCACTTTCACATTCTGAAGGGGGGTTTCGTTTTTCTCCTCCCAACGTCACATGATGTATAATGCAAGGATTCTCTCAAAGATGCAGATATTAAGGAGTTTTTAATGTTATCCTTCCTGGTGCCAAACAATGACAAAACATACAGAGTGCTGCAGTTGAGGGGGAGCACATAGAGAAAAGAAAGAAACAAATCAATGAGAGAAAGTCTCAATGGCTTAGTAGACCCAACTAAACCTACTCAAGGGACAAAAGCGAGGTTGAGTAAGTCGGTGAGTGAGTGAGTGAACATTTTATGAGAGAGAAATCGGAAGGCTCAAATGAGCAAGAAAACAATAATCAATGATAAGTCTGTTACCTTGATCAATTGCGCTATCAATTGAGGAATCAATCCTAGTCACTCAAAATTCAAATTGGACTTTGGACACCGTTTTAAAAAAAAAACTTTGTATTTGCACCACAATCGAGGGGCATTTTGTCTTCTCATACGGGTTAATGTGCAAATACAAAGTTTTTCAAAAAAGAAACGTAAAGTCCAATTTGAACAATAAAATGAGGTGCAAACTCAAATTACTTCTTAGAGATTTTTTAAACTTTAATCATATTTTAACAATTATACATTTTTTTACTCAAAAAAGTAAATCCTAAATAAAGTAGGTTTAAATATGTCATTACTCCCTGCAATTATAGCACATTTTGTTTTACGTCCCCGCAAAATTAATTTTTTGTTTTTCATCCCTAACATTTATGTTGGTTTTCTTTTTAGTCCATCACCGATGATAACAACCTCCGTTTGACCTCGAAATAACACCGACTTATAAGTTTCCTCTAATTCTTCATCGTTTTATTCAAAAAGTATTTAATTTTATTTTTTCGAAGGTATTTAATACAAAATTTTAAAATGTGAATAATTAGTTTTGCATTGTTTTAACTCTCATATTAGCCTAAAAATGGTATAAAAGGATAAATTTAAATATTTCTAGTAGATTTATGCAATCAACAATAACTTTTATTCTAAGTAGAGTGATTTCGGAGTTACACATGGACTAAAAACAAAATAGTGCATATTACAAGGATGTAAAACAAAAAAATATTTTTGCAGGGACCTGAAACAAAGTATGTCATATTATGTCAATAAAGTATCATCAAGGTTGTCTGATATGCGCATGTACGAATTGATGAAATATCTTTGATCGTGATGGTGCCCCACCTTCGTTCCATCGATTTTGAGCGCAGAGACGCGGCCGTGGAATTCCTCTGCACATGGCTGCCAGCGGAGGGCCGATTCTTCCCGACGCCGAAATCCCATTTCTTCCCGAAGAAGAGGCCGTCGATGGCTCTGTCGATTTCAAAGGCCGACCCGCCCTTCGATCAAAAACGGGGCGGTGGAGATCCGCATCCTTCATCATTGGTATAAACTTTCACCCCCCAATTTTCATGTTCCCGTTCTGGATTCAGCACATCCCACTTCATTTTTTCAACCCTTCAGTATTAAATTTGGCGGTTGCGTGTTTGATGTTTCAGGTGTTGAAGTGGCGGAGAGGTTTGCCTACTATGGGATTAGTTCGAACCTCATAAGCTATCTAACTGGTCCTCTTGGACAATCAACAGCCGCCGCGGCGGCTAATGTGAACGCCTGGTCCGGAACTGCGTCTCTTCTGCCGCTCTTTGGTGCCTTCATTGCCGACTCATTTCTTGGCCGGTACAGGACAATTGCCATCTCCTCCCTTCTGTATACCCTGGTCAGTGCATAGCCTGTTGTCTGCTTTGATCTGCTTCACTATCTGATTAACTTGTGCTAAGGACCAAGTAGACTTTCCAATGCTTGCTTGCATTTGAACGGGGGAATTGATGGGGGAGAATTAAAGGAGTAAAATTGGTAGTATACTAGCAACAAAAATTTAGGGGAAAATGTATAACTAGTCCAAATTCCATCAATCAAACAATTTAGCTAATTTGTTAAAGCTCAATATGTGTGCATGCAAGTACATTATAGACAATATCTTGATCCATGTAAAAAAATTAAAAAGTTTATTTTTTTCCTTCATATTTTTTAACAAAAACCAGTACATTTGAAGGAAAAACCATTTTCCCTTACCTTTTTTTACTTTGCAATTTTCTGGGTTCCAAACATAGCATAACTACATTAGTATAGGTGTGATCTTTTGTTGTTTGTTAATCACCATTCATTTCTGTGACTTCATGTAACTTTGAAGTCTTCTAGTGTACAGCATACATAGCTTGAGAGCATTATATGAGGCAGTACCATTTTATGGACCATTTGGCTGGGTTATGGAAAGATGAGCAAAAAAGTTCCTTCTTTGGCACTGCTAAATGTAGTTCAAAATATCACGCTGGAACAATATTAAAGAAATACTTAGTAGTTGAAAGTAATGATCATGTTTCCTTTTATCCTTTATATGGAAATATTTCATTTTCTTCAATGTGTTTGTTATGTTTATGGCACCCTAAATTCATAACAGCGTACTCAATTGTTTTATTTATATGCTTTAAATACTCAATTTTTATCATACAAAGATTAAGGAATCTAAATAGTTGTGAATATTTTAAATAACTCACCATATTTCGTTTTCGTTGCATTTTACAAGTAAAACCAAAAACAAGAAACTAATTTCCCCTAGCATTCTCTGTGACTCAAGCATACACTTAAACTGCAGGGACTGGGCTTCCTTACTATCTCCGCTACCCTTCCTTTTTGGTCTAATGACTGTCCAGAAGCTACAAAGTCTGGTACCTGCTCTCCTCCTATGTTCCAAATTGTCTTCTTCTTCTTTTCGCTATATCTGGTTGCATTAGCACAAGGTGGACACAAGCCATGTGTTCAAGCTTTCGGGGCTGACCAGTTTGACACTCAAGATCCAAAAGAGTGTAAAGCCAAAAGCTCATTCTTCAACTGGTGGTATTTCGGGATGTGCTTTGGTGTTATGGTTACACTATGGATTTTGAATTATATTCAGGACAACCTTAGTTGGGGTCTTGGGTTTGGAATCCCTTGTATCATGATGGGTCTTGCTCTTGTTATCTTCCTGCTTGGGACTGTTACTTATCGTTTCCGTCATGGCAGTGATGATAAGAATCCAATAGTGAGAATTGGCCGTGTGTTTGTCATTGCATTTAGGAACCGGAAGACTAATTTTACATCCATATCACTGGAACAAGATGCTCAAGGAATTCTACCCAGTGAAACTTCTCAGCAGTTCAGGTAAGTTTCAGCATTAAAGGGTTAATTTGGTAACATTTCATGTTTTATGCTTTGAATAATCCTTTTTTTTTTTGTTTAAAAGTTATTGCCCTTGCCAAGTGCCAACTATTATGTTGGTGACACTTTTGGTACATGTGTTTTTTTACTTTCAGATCTATGACTAATGTGTTAGAGACACTTTTGGTAACAGGTGCCTGTGCTTTAATGTTGTCACTTTGAGTACTCTGAGTCTCCGACTATTGTTAATGAATTTTGATCCTTAAGTATTGCCATAGTGATTTGTGGTCCTTCACTTATTGTGGCAAAATTCATATTTGTAGGACCAAAAATGTCACTTTCACAATTGTCGAAAGACTTCAAAATTCAAAGTTTCTTTGTCTTGATAGTGCAAGGATTAGAAGTGGAATATTTCAGTCAAGTTCCAGTGTTTTTGACACAATAGTTGGAATATTAAAAATGAAAAAAAAAACTCGTGTTTTGTTTACAAATTCCTGAAGTACCCTATTAAAAAGTGATCTCGTATTTTTTTCCCCTCATCTTTTTTCTCCTTGTTTTTTATTCTTTTATCCTTATATATAAACATTAATTTTATCCTTTTTATTTTATCATTTTTAGGTATATTCATCTCGTTTTATATTTTTTTGAGAATAGCTTATTTTTTATCTTTATTTTCTTTCTTTTCCTTTTGGTGGTGATATCATGTATCGATTCATGTTAGCCGACCTCAATATCTTTTGGGACTAAGGCTTGGATGTTGTTGTTGTTTGTTGTAATAGGTTTATATTCTTTATTATGGAAATATAGGATATATATCGTAAAGATTCTAAATGTTTTTAGGATCATCTCAAAACAGGAAACATGTTTAACAAAATATTTGCATATCTGTTCTTGTTTTTCTTACAATTTTTAAAATTCTGTTTTATTTCCAGAAGCAGACAACAGAAAACAAGATTCATACCTATTTTAATTTTTTTTTCAAAAAAGAAAGAAAAATAGTAAAATGAAAACAAAAGAATTGCTAAACGACACTTTTTTAAAAATAAATAACAATCTATATTGATTGGAATCGATCCTTAACAAATCAATAATACAATTTGGAGGTGAATTATACCAAGTACAATCAGACTAAGGTATAGCCTGCCTTGCTAAAGCATGGGCAATCCTGCTAAAGCATGGACAGTCCTATTCGCTGATCGTCACCATACTGGACAGAAATCTCAGTGAAAGACGCCATTGCATGTCTAATATCATCAAACAAAGCTACTCCGTATATTACAAAAACTTCCTCCCAGGTTCAGCATACTAAAGGACACTTATGTTTTTAATTTATGTTGTACAGTATTAGAAATGAAAAGTAGAAGAAGACCATTTAATCTTTATGCCCATCCCCCATCTGAAATTTGTAGTCTGTAACAACTAAAAAATAATGTTACTTGATAATACCAATTGCTTTTTTGATGATACTCGGAAAAGTGGATTATTCCATATGACTAAGGGTTTTCTGTTAATCAAAAGGTTCCTAAACAAGGCAACACTTGCCCCTGATGGTTCAAAGGAGGATGGAAAAGTGTGTAGCATCAGCGAGGTTGATGAAGCAAAGGTCATTCTCAGACTTGCACCGATATGGGTGACATGTTTGGTGTATGCGATTGTGTTTTCACAATCATCCACCTTATTCACAAAGCAAGGAGCAACAATGAACAGATCCATTGGTTCAAACCTCAAAGTGCCAGCCGCCACTCTTCAAACCTTTGTTAGCCTTTCCGTGGTTATCTTTATTCCAATTTACGACTGCGTTTTTGTTCCTATTATGAGAGCTGCGACTGGAAGGCCCTCTGGAATAACAATGCTTCAAAGGATAGGAATAGGGGTATTCTTGTCAGTTCTTTCTATGTTGGTTGCAGCCGTAGTTGAGAAGAAGCGTCTTCAAACTGCTTCAGACTTTGGGTTGATTGACAAGCCTGAGGCCACCATTCCCATGAGTGTGTGGTGGTTGATACCACAATATGTACTGTTTGGCATTTCTGATGTGTTCACCATGGTTGGCCTACAAGAGTTTTTCTATGATCAGGTTCCCAAGGAAATAAAAAGCATAGGTCTTGCTTTATACCTCAGTATATTTGGCATTGGCAGCTTTCTTAGTAGCTTTCTCATCTCTATTGTTGAGCAAACCACTGCCGGTAAAGATGATGATGGAGGTTGGTTTTCAGACAACTTGAATAGAGCACATCTCGATTACTTCTATTGGCTTCTTGCTGTACTTTCTGCGTTTTCATTGCTTTGTTACCTATATGTATCAAGATCTTATATATACTATAAAGCTAATTTCGTATAAATGCATACGTGTGGAAACCACTACGCAAACTCAAACTTTGATTGAGGTAAAGAATCAATTCCCTGGCTAATCGACTCAAAATTGCCTCCGGATAAAGACATTGTCAAATTATTGCATACGTTTTTTTTGTAATGTCCTTTGTATCAATCAAAGTTGTTGTATCTCCTTAATTCAACGTCAGCTTATATTTGCCCCTATACATCTGGAAATGTGGTTGGAAACTACACCTTCAAGTTTCTAATCTTTACATCTACGTTTTGGGATGGCCAGGTTCCGGTCTGACTGGCCCGGCCCGCCACTGCGGAACTGGGACCGGCCCGAGGCGTTAGGGCGGTGCGGTTCCGGGCTGCACTCCCTTTGGAACCGGCCGGGCCTGGTCCGGGCCTATAATTTTTTTTTTCATTTTTTGGGTGGTAGTCGGGTTGGGCTGGGTGTTTTGGGGGGGGGGGGGGGGGGTTAATTAGAAAAGCAAAAAAAAAAGTATATGAACCCCGGACCCGGTGGAATCCCGGGCCAATTCTGGGCCTATAGCCACACAGAAAAACCCCGGTTTGGACTGGCCCGGAACCGGTCCATGCCTATCTACGTTGTGCAAAAAAAGTAATGTTTCGTCTACAATTTTTATTTTTCAATGTATACATTTTTTTTTGTAGAATATTTTTTCATTAATAGAATAATTGGTAAAATCATCACTGTTTACAAATTGTCATAATGTATGTATTGAAAGTTTATGTAGCAAATTGATAACCAAAATGAATGTGCCATCCAATTATTATATGGAGTATAATTTAAAATGTGACTAAAATTACTTTTTTTTTACCCAACAAAAAACCACCAAATGAGGTGGGGTAAGAGTTAGGCATTCTTACCTGGTGTTATTAAAAAAATTATTATATTATAATAATAAGAGGTACAAGCACTAATGAAGGTAGAAATCTAGAGAGACATAAAGCCATCAAAATAAAACGCTACTAAGAGGCGGGAAATTAAACTCAACAAACCAAATTGATGCCCTCCTCTAATCGAAGATCATAAACGCCCTCCGTCAAGAGTCTCAACGTTGTCACAAAAAGCAATTGAAATTCAACGATTCCAAACCAACCATGACTAATAATCCCTTTGAAGAAGCAATTGCCAAATTTCGAACTACTTCTACCCTCTTGCCTCATTTTAAGCTTGAATTAGAGTCAGGGGCGGACCGTAGTACAAACCCATGGGGCAGTCGCCCCCCCCCCCCCCCCCCAACAAAGTAAATATATATATGAAAAATAAATTTACCCCCCCCCCCCCCTCGCCCCAACAAATAATTCCCCCCCCCCCCCCCCCCCGAAAAAAATTTGAACCCCCCCAATAAATATTTTCACCCCCAAATCATAGCCTACTTGCAGAGGTCCAATTGTTTAAGAGCCTGAAAAAATAGAACTTATAGAAGTAATATTATATCAGCGGATCAGGCCAGTCCAAAATGTATATAAGCCCAGTCTACTCTAAAATAGTATTTTTCTTAAAATGCTACTCCCTCCGTCCCAGAAAATTCTTCCAACTTTCCTTTTTGGGTCGTCCCAGAAAATTCTTCCAACTTTCCTAAAAAGGAAACCACTCCATACTAAAAACCCCAATTTACCCTCCACTTTTAAAAAATACTCCCTATTGCCTACCCTCGCATTTACCCCATCCGCCTCTCTCTCCCATTTACACCCACTGCCTCCATCTTTCTCTGTGATTGCGTCGGTCTCTCTTTCTCTCTCTCAATTACTCCAACCGTCTCCCTCTCTCATTTACTTCCATCGTCTCCCCCTCTGTATAATCGCCTCCCTCTCTCTCACAATCGTCTAGATCTAAACCCTAATAGCTACAATCGCAGACCCTGTTTCGGTACTCCATCCCACATGCATGGCTCACAACTCCCCGGAAGATGATGGCCTCCTGATAATCCCGGACAATGAAGACGAGCTTGCAAATGATGTTTGTGAGACGTCGACAGAGGTTGCGAGGGAGATTATTGAAGATGTCATCGTCCCTGACAGTGAAGAGGGTCTTCTTCCGGAGGATGGGGTGGCGTGTGATTTGCAGACCCTGTATCGGAACTCCATCCGAGGTGCATGGCTCAAAATTCCCCGGAAGAGGATGACCTCCTCATAATCCCAGACAGTGAAGACGAGCTTGCAAAGGATGTTATTGAGAAGCCTACAGAGGTTATGGGAGAGACGGTGGACCCAAATCTGCTCAAAAGACGCAGAGACACCGACATGCATCCTATTCGGAGAAGTCCTCGGTTGGAAGAGTTCCTAAAACTAATGATACCAAAATGGGAAACACGCATGTGGGATGTGGACACAGATTAGGGGAGTTTCTTCCATACCCTATCTTCGTTTATGGTTTAATTTGTACTCTGTGTCCTATGTGTGATTTTTGGGGGAAGCAATGATGAAATTTGGTTTTATTGATGTTTAATGTGATGCATGTGGCTTGTACATGGTTGTTTGGTATGAGTAATGGTAGTTATGCATACTGTGATTTGCATACACACCTTGTGTGTATTGATCCTTTATGCATACCTAAAGGATCCCTACTGTCATTGAAGCATCCCTGCTGGTCCTTTATGCATACTGTGATAAAAGTAGACCTTGTGTGTACTAGTTCTTTATGCAAACTGTGATGAAAGTAGGAGGTCTATGTTCTGGTTCATTATGCGTGGTATGCTATGATGAAACCCTTATGATGTGGTAGTGTTTGCATACTGTGATGACCATGCCCCTATGATGTGGTAGTGTTTGCATACTGTGATGACCATGCCCCTATGATGATGTCGTAGTTTATGCATACTGTGATGCAGAAACAATGTCTTCCAGTTTGTGACTTTGTGTGTGTGGAATGTATGCTTTAATAGTAGTTGTACAGTATGCTTCTACTATTACAAGATGTCCATTGGTAGTTCAATCTGTAAATGTACCAAAATAATGAAATAATTATGACCATTGGTAGCTCAGTATGCTTCTAGTATTACAAAATGTCTGAGTATGCTTCTACTTGTACATTCAGGTCTGAGTATGCTTCTACTACTACAAAGGTCTGAGCATGTTTATACCACTTCGAAATGTCTTACTGTCCTTGAAGTAGTATAATTAAGGCCTTTACAAAAAACAAAAAATATAAGGCCTATACGTTGATCCCAATATCCCCATACTTGGCAGTACATGAAATTCATCACTAAAGATGATGATGATGATCATCATCATCTTCAATTATGAAGTTCCCCTGACTTTCAGTATCCTCTGCTTCTTGCCCTACAATATGTCTTGTAGCTTCCAAAAGTGCAATATCTACCTCAATTGAAATTGCAAGTCTCCCTTCTGCCTGCATCCTATCCTTTGCATTGTGTGGTAGCTTGTAGTTGTTCCCCCCCTGCACTTTCATTATTTCAATCATAACATACTGATAGCTTAGCCATACTTTGTTCAGAGTCATAAGGGATAGTTCTTTGAATGCATCATCAATTGCCTGTAACAGTTCATCTACTGTCTTAGGTGCATTCTGGTCTTTTAAAGATTGTATTGCCCTAAAAAAACCTAGGTCTAGGATGTTAAGGTCTGGAGAATTGGATGGCTGGTTAGTAAGTGTGATACTAAACCCATCAGCCATGGAAGCAGTCATATACTCTGCATCAACTTATGAAATGTGTGGCCTTGCATTGTCTTGTTGTATTATGATTTCTTTGCTTAACTGTGGAGGCCATTTTTCCTTGATTGCTGGGAGGACTGTGTTGATTAACATGTCCCTGATCACTGTCTGATTTACCTTAAGGATAGGCTTGGTTTCCATGACACCTGCAGGTTTGTTTTTGCTTCTTCTTTTTGCCGCAACCTATTCAACAAATGGAAACATGCCTATTTTTCCATCACAAATGACCTCACCACTTTCTGAAAATAGGGGCCTACCCACCACACCTAGGGACATTACCTTAGTTATGAACCTCTTAGATTTGCATACTCTGTGTGGATCAACCTCTTCCAAGGCCATGTAATATCTTTGAGAAGTTTTTGTCATGAAAAACCATTTTTCATCAATGTGAATGACATTATGAAATGTTGGAAAAGTAGGCTTTTGTGGCACTGAATTGTCTACCTGCCTAAGACAGAACTTCAGTCTTTCCAATTTATTTTCATCAGTCAGAAATGGCTTTATTGCATTTGAGTGGCTTCTGAGCTTACCTCTGTGAACCAATATGTGGACACTAGACTTTGATATTGAGCTGGCAGCTGCTAATGATCTTATGGTAGTCCTTTTATGGAGTGGGATCTGTGATATGTCAGATAGATCAAATTCTATCCTTTTGCAGCCAGAATTACCACTCCACTTCCTCTGCACATCTACTGCATCACCTTTTAACACTTGTTTTTTAACTGTCTCCCAAATGCCAGAAATAGTTCTTCTGGACACTTCAAACTGTCCAGCAAGTTTTTCGAAAATACCTTTATGAGCTTTCAATTCCCCCAAAAAGTCCCTCCGAGTGGACATTAAGAGTGCATCTGATATGCTAACTTTTTCCATGTTTGAAAGTCTTTTTTTTTTCGCACTACATCACCCTCACCATCTGATATTACTATTTCCAGGTGTACGCCTCCTGGTGTGGAAGAAGCCGAAGGCATTGTGGGAGCTGAAGAAAACGTGGAAGAAGCAGCAGCTGTGGACGATTCCCCAAGTGTAGATGCTGCCATTTTTTCCCAGAATATGCGTGTGTGTGTGTGGAGTGTATGGTAGATTTGTGAGGAGGAAGGATTATATGTAATGAACTTAAACCTAAACTCCCTCCTTTTTTTTGGCCTTGCCGCCTAACTTATGCAGATTTAGATTTAATATGAATATTGTTTACTATTCACATGTCATTCATATCTACTTTTAGTCATTTCAATCCTACTTAAACTTTTTACCACACCTTTTACCCCTTTCTTTATCCCTTTCCTAACCCCATTCGGCTAAGGGTATAATAGGAAAGTCAACCCACCCAACTTTTTGCATAAATTTGCGATACCGGTCAAAACCGGAAGAATTTTCCGGGACGGAGGGAGTATTTTTTTACCTAGCCCATCCCATTCAACTATCCCCTGCGCACAAAGAATAAAGAAAATGGAAGAACGATTGAAACCCGCGATGATTCGATGAAGAAGGCGAGAACGGAGAAGAAGTGGCAACCCTGCGACTGCGAGTCTACGATGAAGACGAGAACACCAATCCACTAGCCACGCCATGTTCCGCCGTCGACGCCGTGCTCCCGCCGTCCTGCTCGTCTCTGGAATTGCCTCAAGCTCTGGGCCTCTGGCACAACCGCAAGTGAGTATTTTACTATTTTAGACTTTCTCTTATTTTGTGATGATTGTGTTAACTTAAACTGTAAATTTGTAATTTTTAGCCTTTTAGAGTGTTAGGGTTAGTCCTCAGTTAATCAATTTTTTGAATTGCTAATGATAAATTTTGGTTTTTATATAGTTTATTATAAACATTTATGTCTTTATGTATTTACCTTTCAGTATTGTAAAATAGTTTTTCTAATTTTTTGTGAAGGATAAAGTGAATCTGTGAATGACTGAAAGATGAAGAAGCAGACAAGCATTGAATATCATTTTAAAAGAAAAACTATTGATTCGTGTTGTAGTCCGAGTAATCCGGTCAATGCGGAAACTAAAAATGTGGAAGTTAGTAATACTTCCAAAAACTTGGGTTGTTCTAGTCTTTCATTTGATATCAAGAATCTAGAACGTGATCCCGGAAAACGCCTTTAGATATGGGAATATCCTGTTAATCAAAGAGATGAAGTTATTCGAGCATATTTGGAGATGGGACCATATCAAATACATCTTGCAAAGTATCCCCTGTCCGATGACAAACATCCTCGAAGATTTCAGTTTTCTTGGTTTCAAAAGTTTCATTGGTTGGAGTATTCCCCCACACAAGATGCAACATATTGCTTTCCGTACTACCTTTTTGCAAAGCCTATAACTCCTCAGGGAACCGATGCTTTCACTGTTAAAGGTATTAATAGTTGGAAAAAAAGTTAATGACGGGGCTAATTTTGCTTTCCTGAATCATGTGACTCAAGATCCATGTTCTCCACACAATAATTCTTGGAAAAGTTATCAAGATTTATTGAATCAATCTCGCCATATTGACAAAGTCATCAAAGCACAAACTCTAGAGATGAAGGAAGGTAACCGCTTACGGGTTAACCGCTTACGGGTTATGACCTCTATTGATGCTGTTCGGTGGTTGGCTTCGCAAGGATGTGCTCTACAAGGTCATGATGAATCCTCTACTTCTAGAAATCGAGGTAATTTTCTTGAAATGGTTTCACTTTTAGCATCATATAATTAACAAGTTGCTAGTGTTGTCTTGGATAATGCTCCAAAAAATGCTATGTATACTTCTCCCAAAATTCAAAAGGAGATCTTACACATTCTTGCTAATAAAGTGCGCCATAGGATTTGACATGATATTGGTAATTCTAAGTTTTGCATTCTTGTTGATTAGGCACGTGATGAATCTAAGACAGAGCAAATGGCTATTATTTTGAGATTTGTTGATGAAAAGGGGTTCATTAGAGAGCATTTCTTTGATGTTGTGTATGTTAGAGATACCACAACATTAACTCTGAAAAAAGAAATTTGTGCAGTTCTTTCAAGATTTAGTCTTGATGTTCAGAACATTCGTGGTCACGAGTACGATGGTGCTAGCAATATGCGGGGAGAATGGAATGGATTGAAAGCATTATTTTTAAATGATTGTCCTTATGCCTACTATGTTCATTGCTTAGCACATCGGTTGCAATTAGCATTGGTTGATGCTTCTAGAGAGGTGAAATATGTGCATATTTTTTTCACCGATTTAGTCTTTATTATTAATGTGACTAGTTCTTCTTGCAAATGAAATGATGAATTAAAGGAAGCTCAAGCACTTGAAATTGCAAGAATGTTGGAAATTGGTGAGCTTGAAACAGGCAGGGGACTTAATCAGGTTGGTACATTACAACGAGCTGGAGAAACTCGTTGGAGCTCGCATTTCAGTTCTGTATGCAGTTTGATTAGGATGTTTGTTGCAACTTGTTCTGTTTTAGAAGATGCTGAAGAGAATGGCAATAACTATTCTACTCGTGGAGATGCAGCTGGAGCACTTAAGAAGATTAAATCTTTTGATTTTGTTTTCTTGTTGCATCTTATTAAAGAAATTATGGGCATTACAGATCTTCTATGTTAGCATCTACAAAAGAAGTCCCAAGACATAGTAAATGCTATGCATTTGGTGTCAAGCACCAAAATGTTGACCCAAAAGTTAAGGGAGGGTGGATGGGATAACTTCTTAGAAATTGTTAAAGAGTTTTGCAAAAAGCATGAGATTGAAGTTCCTAATATGAAGTCTCCTTATGTGGTAAAACACAAACGCCATGATCAAGAAGGGTTTGATATTGAATGTCACTATCGGGTTAATATGTTTTACGCCGCCATAGATTCACAATTGTTGGAGCTGAATAGCAGATTCATTGAACATATAATGGATCTTCTTACTCTTAGCGGTGCTTTGGATCCTAAGGACTCATATAAGTCCTTTAACATTGATGATATTTGTTCTTTAGTGGATAAATATTATCCCTTTGATTTTATTGAGCAGGAGAAGGTGAACTTGAGGTTTCAATTACAACATTATAAGCTCAATGTTCTAAACCATCCAAAGTTGGCGAATTTGTCTACAATGGGTGAACTATGTCAAGGATTAGCAGAGACAGATATGTCAAAAATGTACTTTCTTATTGATAGATTGATCTGGTTTTGATGACTCTACCGATTTTGACAGCAACAACAGAAAGGGCTTTTTCAGCAATGCAAATTATAAAAACAAGGCTTTACAATAAAATGGAGGATGAGTATCTTGCAGACAACCTTGTTGTTTATATTGAAAGAGAAATTGCTAAAAGTTTTGACTCAAAGGCCGTGATTGAGGAATTTATCTCGTTGAAGGAGCGTCGGGCACAACTCTAAGGTACTAACTTTATTATTGTGTAATAATATATTTGTCTCTTCTTCTAATTTTTGCTTATTGTTTAATACTTCATTTAATTACTATTATATTAAGGTTATAACTTATAATAATAAGTGCCTAGATTTTTTTTTTAAATTACCGCCCCCTCAATATCAATTTCCTGGGTCTGCCCCTGAGTCGAGTGCTTCTTCTAATATGAGAAGCCTTTTTATAGTTGGGGCAAACAACTCTTGATCTGAATCATATTCCGAAGGCTCCCCATCTGAAGCATCTTCAAAACCCAATTGAGAACCACCCTTGATTGCTTTATGTTGGCTTTGCTCGGGAAACGAGACTTGAATAGGTGTAACTTGCATGATTTCCTCAACATTACTCCTCTCTTCCCCGGATTTCTTGAACATACCCTCAAGATCGTCGTCCTTCAAAATGACAATATCCCTATTCATGTATTTAGTCTCACTAGAAGAGATAAGCCCAATAGGAGAAGAAAGATATCCATTCAAAAATAAGTCTTCTTGGAATATGTGAGAGGAGATAGACTCCACAATCACAGAATCCTCAAACTTTGAATGTGAACAAACAACCCCGTGATCCTCCACCATTTCTTGATCCACGCCATTTTCCGATGTCCCCATTTTCACTTTCTTGAAAAGATCAATTTGATTTAACAAAGCAGAGCTAAACAGACAAAAACCAAATCTTTTCCTACCTTCTGGTGTAATAAAGGTAGTACTACCCCCATTTTCAACCACCACCAAACGAACAAATCTCCCAAACCTGTATTCCTCAAAAGAAAGGGCAAGTTATCTAGACGTTTCATACCTAGTAATTCTCCAGTAATTCCCAGCTTGAAAACGACACAAAGCATCATAAAACCAATTAACTCCTTCCTCGAGTAAAATGCGTAAACAGTACCTCAACTATCGGTAATGTTGCATTTTAGTACCGTAACTCTTTAATGAAGCAAAACAGTACCTCAACTACGTTTAAATGTTGAATCCGCCGGTACCATTTAATATTCCGGCCAAAAATTGCCACTTGTCCGCCGGAAATCCACGTGTATGTTCTAGTCATCATTTTTTCCACGTCATTTGTGTATAATCCATGTCATTTGTGATGATTACGCTATCAAAAATTGAAATATACCAAAAAAAAAACCCATCACTAAGATTCGAACCCGCGTCATTCACGGGTACTACTACTTACACTCAATACCACACCCATCCAGCTACAATGCCTATTGTTTACTTTTCACATAGAAAATATACAAGTATCATTCTTCTGTTGTTTTGACTAGTTAACTTTATTTATTTTTTTGACAATCTCTAAATATGTTACACGGAGTATACCAAAGTATGTTTACATCATAAATCAGTAGTATATCATATATTTTTACTTTATACATTTTTTAATATCGTTTATACATTTTTGCTAAAATTATATTTCAAGTATTTTAGTCTAAAATTCCAACAACTCAAATTTCAGACATTCTTTTACTTTATATATGTACGTAATATTTGTATCACATGAAAGATTATAAAACATTACTACCTTCGTTCTGAAAAGGTTTGCCAAATTGACTTTTTGCTCAATGAAAATAAGCTTTGACCAATGAAATTTTTTACTAAGAAACTTTTTGAATATGAAAATTATATCAAAATGTTCTTTATTCAAAAATGTTTTAATAAAAGTATATAATTTATAAATTATAAATTTATATTTTTTTAAAAAATTATTTATAAATTTATAAATTAAACATATTGTCCAAAGTTTGTGATCATTGATAAAAAAAATTGAACATGGTGAATTTTTTTGAGACTGAGGTATAATGAATTTTGATATATTTTTTATGAAATATAAAACAAATTATAATTATAAAACATTAATTTATAATTGTAGTACATTATAAGACATGTACTATAAAGTAAAATTATAATTAAACAATTTATAGTACATGTCTTATAATGTATTATAATTATAAATTAATGTATTGTAATTATTATTTATAATTATAATTATAAATAATTTATAAAAAATGATAAATTTATAATTTATAAATTATATACTTTTATTATAACATTTTTGAATAAAGAACATTTTGATATAATTTTCATATTCAAAAAGTGTCTTAGTAAAAAATATCATTGGTCAAAACTCATTTTCATTGACCAAAAAGTCAATTTGGCAAACCTTTTCAGAACGAAGGTAGTAATTTTTTATAATCTTTCATGTGCCACAAATATTACATATATAAAGTAAAAGAATGTCTGAAATTTCAGTTGTTGGAATTTTAGACTAAAATACGTGAAATATAATTTTTAACAAAAATGTATAAACGATATTAAAAAAATGTAGAAAGTAAAAATATATAAGACGGCGTGAAAAATATATGATATACTACAGATTTATGATGTAAACACACTTTGGTATACTCCGTGTAACATATTTAGAGATTGTCAAAATAAAGAAATAAATAAAGTTAACTAGTCAAAACAACATAAGAATGATACTTGTATTTTTTCTATGTTAAAAGTAAACAATAGGCATTGTAGCCGGATGGGTGTGGTATTGAGTGTAAGTAGTAGTGTGCGTGAAGGATGCGGGTTCGACTTCCAGTGATGGGTTTTTTGGTATATTTCAATTTTTGATAGCTTAATCATCACAAATGACATGGATTATATACAAATGACGTGGAAAAAATGATGACTAGAACATACATGTGGATTTCTGGCGGACAAGTGGCAATTTTTTGCAGGAATATTGAATGGTACCGCCGGATTCAACATTTAAACGTAGTTGAGGTACCGTTTTGCTTCATTAAAGAGTTAAGGTACTAAAATGTAACATTACTGATATTTGAGATACTTTTTATGCATTTTACTCCTCCTTCCTCATCAAGACAAATAGAAACGTTATGACCCTCTTTTATTTGACTGATTTTTAGCAATAATGATTCAAGATGAAAAAGATAAATTTTACTTTCAATGCAAATTCTGGTATGTTGACCTGAACCAGTCAAGTTTGAACCCACCATAACCCCTGTGATGTCCTCACTCCTCAGAGGGCTGGAGTTGCTTCTATTGCTGGTTTCCCCTGTTAGCGCGATCAGAAAATCCAGATGGCCTTCCTGGTATCCATGCCGATCAATCTTCCTGGTATCCAGATGGCGTCCTCGTTCTGTCTTCCCTGAATCGCCCTATTGGCATCCCCTCCCTCGATCCCGTCCTGGCGTCATGTGACTAAAATTAACTAAAATTACTATGAGTATGCCATTACGATTACTATGATATAAAAAATTGAGTACACTTATAAATACAACTCCAAAATAGTTATGAAGTTACATTGTTTTCTATTATGTTTATTTTATGCATATATTTGGAATTATAGAGTATTTCATAACTAACAAAATTATCACACAATTATCCAATCAAAGTTATATGTAATAAAAGAATGTGTCAAACACTCAATAAAATTAATAATGATAATAAGGGTCTGTTTGCAACAGCTTCTGCTTTTTTAAAAAATGCTTTTTTTAATGAAATGAGGAGAAATGATTAAATAAAAGTTGATAGTGTTTGAGAAAAAAATGATTTTGAAAAGTAAAAGTGAGTAGTGTTTGGTAAAATAAGTGCTTTTGTGTAATAGAAAAAGTAAAAGGACTTTTGACGCGGAAGCCGAGAAAAATAAAAGTTGTAGTGTTTGGGAAAATAAGTATTTTTTTAAAGCCAAAAGCTGAGAAGCGTTTTTTTAAAGCAGTTGTAAACCAACCCTAAGTAAATTAAGAGAATACTCCAATCACAACATGCCCCAATATATAGTAGATATGGCACACCCTTTCCAAGAATGTATTTTGTATGCATAGAAATCCCCTCGTACTATGACATGAAAGATTACTTTTTTTTTAATTAACTTAACATAACAAAGCTAGGTAATAGTGTTCTACATCAATGTAGCTAGAAGTTCTCTTTTTCTTCAAAGATTTCTTTAGGAAATCCCCTACTTCCAAAAATAGCTTCCGGTCGAAACTCAAACCCTTGCACAACGAGGAATATGCCAAACGGAAGAGTAACATCAAACACACAAGATTCAACATCACCGCAATCGCCGCCAACGTTGAAAAAGGTCCCGATTTCCACCTCTAACCACCCGTCATCTCTAGAAACAGGAAGCTCGACATGATGAGACCATATCCCATTACAGTTTTCATGAATGACAAAGTGTGAAGCTCTACTTGGAGCCACATTTCTACCCTCATTGTCAACAAATCTAGACACTCCTCTGAATAATTTAAGGCTGACGTATTTCGTTTTACAGTTTTCATTGTACACATATCCCATTACAGTTTTCATTGTACACCAAGTAGGTTGAATAGTGTGTTTTGTCAGATAACTTTTTGCTGCATATTCTTCCAATGATATTGAATTCGCGGCCTTCCAATGAGTCTAGTACAGCCACATCAACAAACCTTTGAACCGGAAGAAGATTTAATACGGAGTAGTTAGTAAAAGAAATTATACTCCCTCCGGTTCTTAATGAACATTACACTTTCCTTTTTGGGCAATCTCATATTAAACTTTATACTTCCTTAACCTCCTTATTTGGCAAACAAATCTACACCAAACAGTGACAAAACAGTGTCAAAGAGTGTCAACCAGTGTCGAAACTGTGTACTCTACAGTAAAATTTACCCCCCAATAAATTTATTTTCTTAATATGTGTGAAGTCAAAATGTAAAGTTCATTAACAACTGGAAGGAGTATAAAGGGAAGTAAAACATTGTGGAAAAATTCCCGGGATATGACTAAAACAAAGTGAGTTTCTCGAAATGTGACTAGTTATGTTTTTTTCTCGAAATATGACCAAAAATCGAAAAAAAAAAGTTTTTTTCGTTTTATTAAATTGTGGAAGGACAAAAATACCCTTTTTTTTTTAAAAATATGCATTTTACACTAATTTCGTTCGGGTAAAAATATTGCACTTCATGAAGGCGTTATTGCACTACATTTATTGCACTTTATGGCGGTATTCACTGCACGACATAACATTACATAAAATGAATTTAGCGTTTTTTAGATTTCATAACTTTAGTTCTTACATTTGGTTAATATTACATACGATAGTATAATGCTATGAATTTATAGATATTTTTCATGTCATTTTTAATGCACTTCTTTTCATGTCATTGCACTTTTTACATTATTGCACTTCTTGCCATATCATTGCACGTTTTGTCATAACTCATTGCGCTTCTTGTGATGTTCACGGCATTAAATATAAATTATTCATAACACACTTATTTCATCGTCTTCAACCTAGGTTCGCCTTCAACCTCGGTTCGCCATCAACCTTGGCCGCCTTGACTGAAAAAGCTGAGTAGTAGGAACGGCAGAGGGGCGCGGCTGAGCGGCAGCGAGTTGGATCGAGTGCAATCTGACGGAGACGAGGACGGCAACACTCAGGGCTGGGGGCGATGTTGACGAGCATGAATCGGGATGGAGGCGGCGCCCACGGCTCAGGACGACAGCGGCGCACAGCGAGCATAGGCTGGACAACGGCGGCAGCAAGTGCAGGCTAGACCCAGGAGGCGGATGGAAGAGGCGAGCATGGGCTGGGCGGAGGAGGCGAGCGCGGG